TGTGTGTGTGTGTGTGACGTGTCCATGTAGTGCTTGTGCTGAGAGATGCACAGACATGTGTTACAGCGAATGCTTTTGGGACTCGTCCTCTGAAGGTCTGTTTACTCACTGTGAGTCTGGTGGGTCTGTCGGATGCAGGTGCAGCACAGCCTTCATTCAGCCCACATGAAGACCATCTACAGGCCGAAACTCACACTGTAAACAACGACTGAAACTCATTCACTCGTCCTGATCCTTCACTGATGTCTCTCTGTCTGTCACTCAGTTTATTGAGGTATCGTGTGGGATCTTCAGATGTGCCTCCACTAGATCACAGAGATGTTCTGCTGCAAACCAGCATGACGGGAAATGCTTCAAACAGCGAGAGCAGACGAGCGCGGGATGATTCACGGCTGATCTCAGGACGGTGTGTCGCATGGGTTTGTTTCTCACTGCATGTAAAGCGTCACGTGTCGTGTGTTTGTCATGTAGTTTTTCCCATTTGTGTGATTGATGCGACCTTCAAATGATGATAATTGATATTTAGGATGTTTTATTAAAAATAATCACTGAGAGCATCACATGACAGAACTAGCCGCAGTGTTCTGAGGTCTGTTGTGTTTGCTGAAGTGCTCTGGGAGACTCTCCTGACTGCTGAGTGGAGTGTTTCAGGCTGTGAGTAGAGACGTGGCTGTACCTGAACTGTTTCTGAAGGCGGGGGGCAGGATGAGCGCATGCGAGGGGGCTGCAAACCACAGCAGGTTCGGCTGACATCCTGCCTCTCTGTAGCTGCTCCATCTCACTCCAGCTCCTCGCCACCTCTCAGCCTGTTCCAGGTAAACTTCACCTTACCTACAAAACCTCTTTTCTTTAGTCTTCTTTCTGAATGCGGCTCCAGACAGTCGAGCGGATCGGATCCGTGTGTCGGGGCCTTTTGATCGAGCCGTCGCCCCGTGATGTGACTCTTCATCACTTCCTGCTGGAGACCCCATCACAGAGTCAGTTATCATTAAAGCAAAACGGCTAGCCAGCAGTCCTGTCGTGTGTGTGTGTGTGTGTGTGTGTGTGTGTGT